GGGCACTGCCACGACGCAGTGCCAGGCTTGCAGTTCGTGCCCGACCTGTGGTACCTCCAAGACCCAAGCAGCGACTCAGCAAGCGGAAGACTCCAACAGCATCAAGTACAGCAATGACAGTACCAGTTACCACCGGAGTCCTTCCCGCATGCCCGGTCCAAGGGGTCGGTGAGCCGTTGGCAGCTTACCTTCAGCAGGTACAGGCATTCACTGATGCCGTAGCTACCGCAAAGGCACAGGAGGAGGCAGCAGAGGCGGAACGTCAGCGGCTGGCCAGTGAGGCGGCAGCCCAAGCTCAGCAGACTGCTGAGGCTGACGCCGTGGTGCGAGATAAGCGGAACGCCATTTGCATGGAGTCCTTGACTATGAATGAGAGTCAGTGGACGGCAATGCTCCAAGGCATGTTGTTTGTGCCTTCGGATACACTTGCGGATCCGACACTGGCGGATCTGACACCGGCGGAGGAAGAAAGGAGCAACCTGGCTAACCTGATGATGAACATGATGCGCGCAATCATGTGGAACAATACGATGTTAATGGTGCAAATCCACGAGGGCAGACAGTTGCGACAGATTCAGCAGAATGATTCTGCAGCCTTAACAGTTGCCGTTCGCGCTGCTGCCACACATCAGCAACAACAGCAACAGCTGTTGAGCACCACCACCGCACGCGTCAATACCATCGAGGCTAAGGCCTTAGCAGCGCCAGGCTGCACGACAGACGAGACGAAGCAGATCAATGGGCACATCCATCATGTCGTCAAACTCATCGGCAATATAGGTGTTTTCAATGGGCCGGACACGATCAGTAGCACGGTGGCCGCTATCAAGACGGACATCACCAAGCTGCAGACGCGACTGGACGCCGCTACGAAGACGTACAAGATGCCGCACTTCGACATCAGCAAGTTCGACGACTACAACAAATCGGACGCCTTGACATGGTCGCAACGTTTCCTCACGGAAGCCTCATGTCGCACGGTCCCGGTGGACGACATGCTGAAGGCACTCTATTTGCAACTTATTGGCGGAGCGCAGGCATGGATGAACCATCTGGCCGCTACCAACAAATGCACCATCGCCGAACTCCACACGCACATCACGTGGAAAGAATTCAAGAAGCTATGGTTCACCCGGTTCATGGTCCGCAACGTCGTGAAGGCGGCCATGAACGAGGTGTACACCTGCTCTAAAGGGAATATGCCAACTCGAGACTCGACAACCAAGTGGCAGAAGATAGTGACCACGTCAGGGTTTGATTTGAGCTTTACCAATCAACGATCCGAGTTCTTCTTGCGATCATGCGCAGGACTGCGAACCGCACTCAGCAACGAGTACGATTACGCCTCATTCCAGGCTATCCTGGATCGTGTGAACTTGGTCATTCAAACGGATGACAAGGCTGCTAACGAACGGCAGTCCCAGCCGCACTATGTGGCTAAACCGGCCTATCAACGACCAGCACATAACAATGCTGTGATTTCAGAAGAAACAGTCGATCTCCACGCTGCAGCAGCATCCTCGAGTGATGGAGGAATTGTAGCAGCGCTCCCGCCGAAGCGTCCCAAGAGAGTTCGGAAGAACAAGGCAACACAAGAGACGGCATCGATGGGAACTGAGCAGCAACCATGGACGGCTTACAAGATAACCAAGGATGTCTATGACCTTCGTCAAAAGTACAACTACTGCCTTTGGTGCAATGGGGTCACTCATGTGACCGCCAACTGCCCCGAGAAGGGCAAGCCACTCGTACTCCGTCCAGGAAACTCGGGAAACTGAGTTACGCAAGGAGAGGGGCGACGCCTCTCCTCACTCCGCCGGACCCGGTTGCCTCGCTAGCAATCGATGTCACTACCGGGGAGCATGCATTAGTCGCTGATTCTCGTGCTACGTACGAGGATTATGCCGCCCAGCTGGTACCACCACTAGACCAGCCAAGCCACGTGCACTTAGATTGCGTATGCGCAGCCTGTACACCGTCGGCAAGTGATCCGGTCAGTTCGCCACTGATTTCCAAGGACTCGAGTGCGTGGTCAAGAGTTGAGGAGCTTGACCCGCTCACGAGAGAGGACTTCGCTTGGATGCCTCTTCCCTCGACCGAAACCTTGCCAAGGCAGCATTGCAACGCCTTAATGGCAAATCTACGCTCCTATTTGCACACTACAGTACCAGCTCCGTTGACGGACGACGGAGTAGCGGTTGTCGATCTCCGCTCCTATCTTGCGAAGATTGACCGCGAGTACGCCACCCAAAGGTACGCCGAAGTTGACGCGCCTTTGCTCTATTTCCGCATTCAAATCGGAAAGGGAACCTGTAGTACCTTGATTGATTGCGGAGCGTCTCGCAACTTTATGAGCCAAGCCTTTATGGCCCGCGCAGGCCTTGGCCCGCGCGTTCGAAGGAAGACGCAACCCACGCAAGTTACACTCGCGGACGGCCGCACGCAAAAGTCAATTGACCGATGCGTCGACGGCGTTCCGGTATACTTTGCGCCACTTGCGTGCGAGCCCGTGTCTTTTGACATCCTCGACACCAAGTTCGACATGATTCTAGGCATGTCTTGGTTGCGTAGC